GGTGGGGGGCTGGATAGGAGGTGCGTGGGGGTCAAGGGTAGGGTGAAAAAAAGAAATTTTGAAGTAATTGTAATTTGAAGTTGGAAGAGAGGTTTGGAAAATGTTTTCCTTAAGTTTTGAAGGGAAGTCATTTTCCTTAAATTTGAGGAAAATGACTTGGTTTGGAAAACATTTAACCCAACCAAACATGAGAAAATTGAAAAACATTTTCCGGAAAATGTTTTCCTTCATACCAAATACACCCTAAACAGAAAACTTACTCAAATTATTGACGAAAATCATTAGAAAACTCCCTCTTCAGCGCCATGAATGTTTAGAACCCTATTTTGCTCCAATATTTTCATGGCGGTATTCTTCATCTCATCCCAAATTTGAAACCAACAAAAAACACAAATATATAAAATAAAAGATAATGACTAAGGATTGCATGTCAAAATTTAAAAATATTTGTAGGTGTAGTGGTATACAATGTAAATATATAAGGGGATAAAACTTTATTAGCACAATCAAATTAATTTATCACGATTAAGTGATAAGTTAAGATATGATAACTATCTTAGTAGAGATAAGTGTCGTGTATATATTCGTTTGATATAAAACACTGAATGCAGATAATTTCTTTTTTATTCCATTATCATCCAAGTTGAGATATCGGTGAAAACCTTCATTATAAAATATACTAAACTTATATAGTATTTAAAATATATATAAAATTTCATTTAGAGATATTAGACAATATAAAAGAAAAAATCGTATATTGTAGGACACAAAAAGGTAACTGTTTAGAGAAACACAAAACTCTCAAATTGGATTAAAATAAAAATGTTAACCTAGATTTCCATGAATTACTTATTTATTTGTTAAAGAGTTGAGAATAATTGAAAAAATAAAAATTTACTTTTATTTCGAATTCGATTTTTTCTCACAAAGGCCGTAACCCAAGTAAATTTAGGGCCTTAGCCCAATATAAAACGAATCAGTCAGGCCCAAAAAAATCTCTATTAGCCCAATTAAACTAAGTCATTACTCTAAAAACCCTAGCTCTGTGTTCGCGGCAATTTTAGTTCCTAAAGGTTTAAGACAGTTACTCTCACTTCTCCGACGGGAATTTCTTCGCCGGAGTCTCGCCGGAAGCGTCTAAAAGTTTCATCATGGCGGGAGGGAAGATGAGGAAAGACAAGCCTCAGCGGGGATCATCATCCGCTGCCTCAAATCCTCACTTCCAGGGAGGGATATCGTTCCACAAGTCGAAGGGTCAGCACATTCTGAAAAATCCTCTACTGGTTGATTCTATTGTCCAGAAATCCGGAATTAAATCTACCGATGTTATCCTCGAAATTGGTCCTGGTACCGGTAATCTTACAAAGAAGCTTCTAGAAGCCGGAAAGTCTGTTATTGCTGTTGAACTTGATCCTCGTATGGTTCTCGAGTTGCAACGAAGGTTTCAGGGAACTCCTTTATCTAACCGACTGAAGGTATCTTATTTTATTTGATCAGTTTTGTTTTTGTAAGATATTTATTGCTTAAATTACTCTAATGTGAACTTAGTGTAGCTTTGAAAAGAAAAAAAAAGCTTATTCTTGACATGTCCTTTGTTTGTCAGCATTCATTCTAGTTAATTAGCATTCATGGTAGTTAATTATGAGATTTGCGAATATTAAGCATTGGAATAGAAGAGGTTTAACTGAAACAGAATGTATTGGTTGTTGTTTGTTATAAATGCAAATTGGGTTAGTGATGTTTGATTGGTTGGTAATATGTTATCAGGGTTGAAATGATGTGCTTAATCATACTTATTTGGTTGGTAATAATTGCGGTTTGGAAACTACTTGTTTAGATAGAATTTTGATTCAAATGTTGTGTGTTAAATAATCAGTGGTTTTATGTTGTTTTTTTGATGGGAAGCATTTTCATGTGTTAGCATTTAGTGATTTTTTCTTTTATTAAGGAAGAAACTAACTACAAGCTCTCATTTGGATCGGTTCGGTTCATGAAAGAGTGACGCTAAATCGGTGACCCATAACATGTATCTTCCCATTCTCACACTTAGTAATCACATTTCAGGAAACTAACTAATTCAGCCATTACTGTGTTTTGAATCGAAGACAGGTGGTTTCATTAGATAGAAGGTTAAGCCCATTCCACGCAATAGTTGGATGAATGAGGAATTAGTCTAACTGAGGTGAAGTGTTGGTTTTGAGTTGGTGGTTCAATGGTTCTTTTTATTATGGCTGCTTTGAGTATGGTAAAATGGCCTTAAATAGAGTAACGTCTTTTCTTAATGAACTCACTCCACAGTTCAAGTTATAGAAATGGTTACTTATCTAAGTTCGACATCACCCATAAGGTTGTTATGGTATATGGACCCAATAACTTTTTGTGATTATTGCACCCTTTAGTCACAAGCTTCTCTTTGGAGTGGAACAAACAATTGGCAACCTTACTGACCTAAGCTTGAAATGGTTCCCTTCATGCAACCAGATCTGGATCCGTTTCACTCAGTTTCCAAAGAGACTGCAGTTCTATGTTAACTGAATTTTCAAACTAGAAGATTATATACTTTCCCAACTGTGGATTCCAAGGATGAGATTTTGAGATGGTTTTGTGGATACAAAGTTGATCTCTGCAGTCTGAAATTGGCATAATTATAATAAAGCAAATTCCTCCCCTCTGAACACTTAACTTATAGAGCAATTATCCTCTGTGGAGGAATTTGCTTTATCATAATTGTGTGCACAGAAATTGA